CACTGGTGAGACCGCAGCTGGAGTACTGCGTCCAGTTCTGGGCGCTGCACTTCAACAAGGATGTGGAAAAACTTGAGGGGGTCCGGAAAAGAGCCACCCGTATAATCAGGGACTTGCAAGGCAAATCATATGAAGAAAGGCCGAGGGACCTGGGCCTCTTTAGCCTAAAGAAGAGAAGGCTGAGAGGGGATTTGATGGCGGCTTACCGCTACACATCGGGAGTGCATCAGGAGCTCAGTGAACAACTGTTCACTAGGGCACCCCTGGGGAGGACCAGGACCAATGGATACAAACTCCTGGAAGGCTGCTTCAGGCTTAGTACCAGGAAAAACTCCTTCTTCACAGCCAGGGTATCCAGACTGTGGAATAAACTCCCTCCAGAGGTGGTGCAGTCACCTAGCCTAGAGATTTTCAAGAGGAGACTGGACAGTCACCTCACAGGGGTCACCTAACCCCAGTTGTCTTCCTGCCTAGAGTGGGCGGGGGGGGGCTGGACCCGACGACCTACAAGGTCCCTTCCAGCCCCTAACCATCTATGAATATATGAAATAGCAGCTTTCAATACAGTATCAGCACAATTCACAATTGCAAGGAATGAAACAGGCACGGGTAAAGGCAGGGCCATCCCAGGGTTTGGGGGTGCAAATCAAAGCGACTGCTCTGGGCCCTGCACTTTGAGGGGCCCTGCAAAGCTGGGCAGAGCAGCCACAACTGCGGCGACGGAAACTCTATGCTGCCACCACTGGCTTCATGTCCGGCTGCTTGCCCCCCCACTCCACTATAGATAGTGGCAGCAGCTTCTTGGGGTCTGTGGCGCACGGGATTGGAGTGGGAGTGGGGGCGTTGCCCTGCATGGGCTGCTTTGCCCTGGGCCCCGCTCCCTGCTCAGGTCAGCTTTGGGTAAAATTCCTGTCTAAACTATATAAGACTGTTTATTTTAAACACCCCTGAAGATGCAAGTTTAAAAGACTAAAAGGGTTTCCTTGTGCCCAAATAGCCTGAAGATGTGCTTTTGCTATAATGAAGTTAAGAAAAAAGGATTTTGTTCCAAATCCTAAGCAACAGCTGACCTTATGTGTATTCCTGAACATGCACATACCATTTTATGTGCCATTTTATGGTATTTCCATACCAATGAGTAGCACTTATTTGTATTGCAGAAATATCTAGAAGTCCAAAACAAGGATTAGGGGGCTGCTATGTCTGGAGTTGTACATAGTGCTTTTGTAACCATTTCCATATATTGTTTACAAAGGAACTGAGATTGAAAACAATGCGTAATCTATGTAGAGAGCTAAATAATGATGTTAATAATGTTTGATTAGATCTTACACAACTGCCTAACAAAAGGTCCCATTCAGATGGGCTGAAAAGATGCAAGCCAGTCTCCTACCACTCTTAATGAAAATGAGCTATTGTTTCCCCTGTTTCACAGGCACAGCAGATTTATTGTCTCAATAGATTTCCATGTGGTTTAGAATCAACAATTCCTAAAGTAGGTGCAGCTATTCCGGAGGAAGCACCAGTGCTGTGCACTGCACTAGGATGGCATGAAGTGAGACAGAGGTTTGTTTCCAGCAAGTAGGAAGGGGGCACTGATTTATTCTAGAGAGACTGGAAACAGCTTTTGAACTGTGGTAAAAATAATAAAGCGTCTTAAATGTGTTTTGCAGCAAGTCAATAGAGCAAGAAATCCTGAAACTGCTTTACATGGGATTATGAGGCACCTGATTTGAGTATTTTCACCTGCTCCTCCCTTAAGCGCCCTGAGTTGTCTTGCACTTCCCTCAAAAAGATTGTTTTATATGCAGTTGTGTAGGTGAGATGCTCTTCAAACCAAATAAATACCTGATGACCCAAGAAGTTTCCAGTCTAGATTAGAGATGGTTTATGACATTATTCTGCTCATTGTTACTCTTATGGATCACATTTATGATTCAGTTCCCCATTTCTGCCCCAGTGATCAATGTGATAGTCCAGGAAGTGACGGCAGAATCAGAGGCATCAAAAAGCCCTGAAAGCCTGGGCTGAAAGTCAAGTTACTGCTGATTCCATCACAAGAGTAGATCCTGTAAATACAGGAATATTTACCTCTACATATGTACGTCCATTAGTTTCACATGCACCTACATAATAAGCACTAACTTGTGTCATGTTAGCCAAGTATGCAGGAGTTTGCAACATAAGGGCCCATGTCCCACATGCACTATAATTTCAGTTGAACTCTAAAATGCCTTTCAAGATAGACTCTTAAATAGTTTCTGATAACTACATTTTTGCTGAGAGGTGATGGCCCCTGCAGGTTAAAAAAAAAAACAACGCCCCCACCAAACAAACACACACAATACAGAATCCACGAGTGTAATATTAGGATTCAGTGGACTAAAGGGATACTTAGATAAGGAAACACAAAGAAGGTACTTGCATCTATCTACTAAAATATAACATCTTGAAGCTTCCATGGGGGAAGAACTTCTTGTGCTGGTGTTCTCAAAGGGTAATGTTCTTCAGCCAGTGCTGGCACATCTCATGCTTCCATTCATAGAAAGAAGAAATCTCTTGTTCTTCCCAATGGTGTAGGGGGCATCATCCAGACATCATCTGGAAAGGGGCTATTACTGACAAGCCTGCTTTTGAGAGTAATACTGGAAAAAAGCTAAATCAGACAAGGACAGTTTGGGTGGATGGTGTGGCTGGGAGGTTAAGACATTGAAAACTAAGGTTACAAGCTCCATGATAGGCACAGGCAAGTTGGTCCCAGGCTCTGAGATAAAAGAGAAGAAAGAGCCTAGCTACATTGGTCATTTATGTAGACCAGCTCAGAGGCTCCCAACCACTGGGCCGCAAAGGGTTGGCTGTTGGGGCGTGACATGAACCCCCCGCGTGGACTCCCGTCTGTCCGCCTGGGCGAGTGGTTTCCACCATTAAAGCTGGGTGGCAGGGCAACCCTAGGAGGGAGGCAGACAGCTCAGTGAGCTCTGTCCTGCTCCCGCTGGTCCGAAGCATAAAAAGGTTGGGAACCACTGGCCTAGCTATATTGTGCCATCATGAAGTCCTATCTTAGTCCCATGCAATTTCAGCTCAAAAACATTTACTTAGGTCAAACTTCCTGCAAAAGGATCGTTTCTACAAAGTTTCGAGAAAACTCCAACAGTTTTATTCGCAAAAGCAGAAATCAATAAAAATATAGATATTCCGATCAGTTCACACACCAGGAAATTTTTTTCTCAATTCCACTCATGTGGAACTGCCATTAAAATAACAAAATGAGCATTTATATCAGAAGCTATTATTCGAATAGCAGTATGTATACATTAACATTTGTTTCAAAGGATTTGCATATAATTATAAATAAGCACAGAACATTTGTTTCATTTCCAACCAAACATTCCAAGGCAAACAGGAGGTGGGTGGCATTGTACATTTTTCCATTTTTGTCTCTGCTCTGGTATTTTCACAGTATAAGGAAAGTTTACTGCTGCCCACCAGCATTTCATGAAGTTTTTGGTTTAAATAGGCTAAGATTCAGCGTTAGCTCACTGCACTTCCTAAAATGTTCACTGTGAATTCCAAAGCTCTTTATGGCTAAGATCAGGAAGCTGACATTACTTTTACTTCAGCTGATGCCAAAAATTGTTCCAACGGCTGCCAACACCATCAGGAAACATACTTTATTTGAATTATAGTGCACTCCTAATAGAACTGACATGAGACTGTCTGCTGGCAAATTAGACTTCTGTCAGGGTGAGTCTAACTCATGAAACCAAGACCAAATACTGCATACCTTACTCTAATCTCTCATTGAAATCAACTGGGTTATTGCAACTGTTCTGTACCCGAAATCAACTTCCAGCTGTTACAGCAAGTGGTAGCATGGATTAATTCCAAATGGGAATATTCTTGTTTCTGAAAGAGTGGCTAGCTGTAAAAATTTGATCTACCTGAAATTGGTGGTGAAATTCTCATTAAGATGAAAGGAGCAAGAGACAAAATTTACTTCCATTTCAGTGAGTTTTAACTATGAAGGACATTTGTCCAGCATTACTAAACTGGAGCAAAGAAATGGTTTGAGACAAGTTGCTACCTGTCTTAAAGGGTTCCTTTTGTCATTATTTAATCTCAGCTCAAACTAATTAACTTATTAACTTGAAAAAATCTCAGAAATTCTGTCTGTGCTCAAAGTGCTATAATTTGAGGAAGGCTATACTGCATTTCTTTTACAGGAAGTGGCTGAATCCATGTGGAAAAACTCAACTTATACATAACTACACAACTGCTCTTGGTTTTTTACCTCCATTATTATGGTACTTTAAACCAACTGCAAAACTGGCCTGAGAACCTGAATAAGCAGGGATGAAATCCTGGCCCCCTCATGCCCATGCCAAATAACATAACTAAGAACCATCTAAAACTCCTACAAGTCTTCAACGTGTCAGGATTTTACACTTTATGGGTAGAAAAATATAGGAAATACTGGGCACATCTCCATGCAACGTTAAATGAGCAGTAGACTAATTCTACTATCCATTCGCGTGTCATGGCAAAAGACGTTCTAATGCACTAATGTACAATATAATTACTCTACTTACTGTGTATTACCATCACTAAAGAGGCATGCACTGGCACTATTGTGCATTGAGCTAGTACCTCTTATAACAGGTATTAAACTTAATGCACAGTAAGTACAGCACATTAATGCACGTGAATGTTCCCATCTCCTTGCCTGAGCCCACAGTGACTGAGAATTAAATACTGAATTTATTAAAGAAACTGAATATTCCTTAGTGGACTAAAAGGTTCTGGTCACTTTTCTTGCATTTTAAGTAATTTCTGTATGTATTTGAACACACATATGTATGAAGTATATTGTTTTCTAGCCTACCCTTGGCTCTCTTCCATTAGTATTCCCAGCAGCTTCTAAGGGGTGTGCATTGGGTCTCCTTATCCAACAGAAGTACACATTACCAACCATTGTTACATGGCATGACTCCAACACAGTCTTGGAAATGTGAATATTTAATAGAAAAATGTAATTTGCATTTTACAACATACAAACATGACACTATCAATGGAGCAAATGAATTCAATTGAAAAATAATTTCAAAATAAAGCATTGGGTTATAAAATAAATAATGCTGTCTAAAAGAAATGTGCATGTTTTGCTTTTAAGAGGCAATCACACTATAACTGCTCTTGTTTCCATCTTCTGAATAAGGTCCATAATTTATATAGAAAAATATACAAAAAACCCAACTTTTTGATAAAGAATATGCTGAGTACGTAACATTTAACATAAATAAAAAGCCTAAAGCAAAACCAAAAAGAAAACTAATTATTTTATTTCTGTACATCAAGACTACAAATAGTATTTTAACACTTCATCTTTTACCCAAATTAAGAAATTATACATTTTATACTGATACTAGTAAACATTTTAAAATCACAGAATTTCCCCCATTTAAAAGGATATTGCTAGTTACTGCTTATTAAACATGAAATCCAGGAATAGCAAAATAATTTTAGCAATAGAGATGAGCAAGACTCTGATGGTAATTTTTTTTTCTTTAAAGATCAGAAGGGATACACTTGTTTATGTTTCTTATGGCTTGAATTAGCATTATTTTTAGCTGAATGCAAATTATATGTGAACACAAATCTTGACCCAGTAATGTGCCTATTATTACAGAACTAAATCCCTCCATCTGAAACCAGTTTTTCCCCTGGCAATCAAGTTATGATAAGCAGCATGTTCCCATCTACTTGCCTGAGCAAAACTGCTAAGACCAGATGGATGTGAAAGCTGCTTATTGACAAAAATAATGAATCAGACTATATTTTATGGAACATGGCATTTAGAATGGAAATAAATGATGAGCAGAAGGAATGTGAACACCGCAGGCTTCAGATATAAAAGATAAAGCCTGATACTTTGGTTCAAATAATTTTAATAGTTGTTACAAGTATATTTTTTCCAAAGTCATGACTATTGTATGTATTGGGTATGTCATAGGAGTCTGATACATAAAAAAAGAGGTCTGTACAGGCACTAAGGGGAGACAGAAACAGAACAGAGAAAGCATGGACAGTCGCATCTGTTTATGACAGTGTCCAACTGATCATGACGTAGCAAAAGGTAGAACTTAAAAATAAGCATGCGAAACCCATTTCTGGAAGATATTCCAGAGAGCCCAAATAAAAGCCTATAAATGTTTTATCTCAGTGCCTACCCTCTTAAGCGAAGGTAGTATTAAACAATTCTAATCCATCTTAATAGCAACAACTAATGTTTGTAAACAGTTCTACCACATGAGAAAAGATGTGGGGTCATCAGTAACAAGCAATCTCAACCTCTGAATTCCGGGACATTTGCACACATCTTTTTCCCTCTAAAACTTATTACAGGATGTTAGCTCTGTTTTATCCCAACGTGCTGCATTGTACACAAGTTTATTGCCAGCTTGTGGGTTTATTTATATTTGAACAGCACAAAGCCAAAGCTTCATCTTTGGTTAATTTCACAGAGATGTCACTGTTCTTTAAATGTGCTCTTTCTTGGCATAAACACACAAAACAGCCACACTGCACACAGCATTCATTATTTTGAATCATAAAGCAGTGTCAATGTAAGGTTAATTAATGACAGCTAACAAACAAACTGTGTGTTTAAAAATGAAACCCATTTGGGGGCAACTGGTAAGAAATGAATGCTGCAGAAACCTAGATGGAGTTGTCTTTAATCTGCTTGGGTACGGGTGCTGCTTTTGAAGTAGGCACTGGTTAGGTCCTCTGCAGAGCATCTGATTACACCTCAGTTCGACTCAGCTTAGCTCAAATCCAGCAGCACATTCAATGGCATATAGAAGCTTGCTCCGCATAAGGTTTTCATCATAAAACTCCGGAAGCTTCAGCAAGTTCATGCAGGTACTGGCTGTGGGAAGCCTGTCCAGATCAGATCCTCCATTGTGAATGCAAAATGCAGGATATAATTCCTGGAAAATAGTAACAGGAAAGAAAAAGAAAAAGATCTATGTACACACAAGCTAAAACAGGTACTACTATAATCAGCCTAAAACTTTTAGGAAAAAAGTAACTGCCATTAAAATCTGTATCAGCGACATTTTGAAAAGACATATTCTTTCCTTGGTTACCTCAAAAGACCCTCTCCCTCCAACGTTTGTATAGAAGAAGAACATTCATGGTCATTAAACCACAGAAAGTAAGGCTGGTTCACCTACTCTTAAGGAAAAAAAGATACTCCAATTGTTCACAGAGCATGTTTTGCAAAATATTGTCTTGTATAGAAACGGTGAAGTATGAAATAGAAAAATGCAGCAGCATGCAGGAAGTAGTACTTATTTACTTCCAGTAACATACTGATTTGCAGTAATTGTAGACTAATATTAATCAGAGGATCTCCTTACAAAAGCTCCCACAGGTCTGCAGACCAGTCATTTTCCTGTCATTATTGAATTAAACAATCTTGTTGTTGGGCACTGAAATTTCTGAGCACCCATAGTGCACTACTGAGCACTGGTGATACAGATAGCCCAGCAGGGGCTGTGCTCCTCTCTGCAATGTGCAGCGTTGGCCAGAGCCAGGTACCAATGCCCCAAGCGCCTTTGCTGCTGCACCATGGGGGGGGGGTCCACACACCCCTCCACCCTCCCTCACACCCCACAAATGCCACACACCCACACCCTGCCCCCACAAGCCCCCACATAGATACAATCACCAACATACCCTTTGCCCCACTACATCCCACCATCCACCCCTACTCACACCCCCACCCACCACATACACCCACCATATACCCACACCCCAACCATCCACCCCCATACACCCTTACCTCATCACACCCTAAGAACATCATTATGCAATCACCCCTATATACAGTACAGAAAAACTAATCATGACAAAAATATTTTTTGTAATAAAATTAAAATATGTTATAGTAATTTTAGTATATGATTTGATTTTTTTTCTGGTTCCAAGATGGCAACCCCCTCCCCAAAGGAGTATTTCTGGGGGGTAAAGGGAAGGATGTCCAGTGGCAAAGGTCAGGGGTGGGACTTCAGGACCCAAGACGGTGACCAGGGGGTGGGGCACTTGTCAAGGGGCAGGGCTACCCATGTGGCCCTCAAAAGCTTACCAAACCTTAAGTGGCCCTCCATCTGAAAAAACTGCCCGACCCTGCTGTATCATCATCATCATTTGTTGGAGGTGGGCCCTGCCACTGAAATCTGGAGCATGGAGCCCCATTGAAGATGTCCGTCTGTGAGTCTATTGGATATAAACTTGTCAACTATTTGAGGTGCAAAATCTTTCTTTAAGGTTTTATGCATCTTTTTTTAGTCTTATGAAAATGATGTTTCTCTTCCCATGATAAGTAAGGATGCAAAGAATATTTGTTTGTTACACCTAAACCTCTGCTATCATTGGCAAGGAAACATTAATTTTATCAAATCCGTTCCTGAGCTAAAATAGATCATCTGGTTTCAAACACATGGGCTGGTGGTGGGGAAGGAATGGAAAAGCTACATGTCAACAAGAGTTTAAATTAAATTATTGTTTAAATGGAGGCCTTAAAATGTATTTCACAGCTGAAATGCTGCATTTTGTGTTCTTTTCAAAATGCTAATTCAATTTTCCCTACTTTAAGCTTTAAAAATGTAAAAAATGAAGTCCTCTATTGAAATGTCATGCCAAGGGCACCATTTGTTGCATAATTAAACACTGTACAACAGGAATCTGTAATAGCATGGAAGAGAGATGAATCATCAATTTATTATGCGACCTGATTAGAACTTAACAATTTTCAACCACGCTTTAATGATTTTCTTTTTGGTCTGTAACAATCACATTTATTAAACTTGTTAAACTTTAAGTAGCTTTAGTAAATGTTATTCTGAATCTGATCATCTGGCACTCAGGGTTTTCATAATTTTTAAAGAGTGTAGGAGAAGATGTTGCTCTTTGTATGCTACCAATTTTGAGATATTTCTTCCTCTTAAATGAATATCAACTAACTTTACTGAAGGTGAAGGTTCCACAATGCAGTCTGCACAAGGTTTTAGAGTGAATACTAAAAGTTGTGTTCTTAATAGTAACATTTAATATTTCTTTTTAAATGACCACAGAAAAAAGAATTACTGAAAACATTTTGCATTAATTTCCACACTCAATAGAGTGCAAGTTTTTTTTTATATATATAACAAACATTCACTTATTTGGCTGCTAATAATACTTAGTACTTCCAGTACATAACCACTTTTCATCTTCAAAGTACTATATACACATTAATCATAGGCTACTATGACCACCACTCATGACAGGACCCGATTACCTACTTCCTTTTCTGGTATCCATTTATAACTTGAGAGTTTCTCTGGGACTGCAGCAGCTCACACTAACCTATTCCTGGTTGGCTGCTGAGTCCCATCAGGCCAAGGGCATGCTCAGCTTGTGAGAACAATGGTGCTTTGCCTTCAGATGTGGGGCTACATCATTCAACCCAGGGGGGTTCCTACAGGTTCAGAAAAATAGCAGTGGCAGCATGAATCGCCATGGCTTCCAAAGCTGTAGCAATTTATGCTGTCACTGCTCCCCACTACCAAATTTCGAGACACATGGGCTGGATGACATGGCCCCATGTGCCAGATCATGCCAACATGTGGGGTTGCTGCATGGCTGAATCCAGTGCATGGGGCCAGTCTGGAGCACTGTTTCACACCCACAGACTAATCCTGCATGCTGACCCCACACTGGATCAGGCCCACCAATGGTATCTAGCCCATGGATCAGCCCCATGCCAGTCGTGGCCTGTGGAGCCAGAAAGTTGAGCACCACTGTGTTAGAGGAGCTATTACTCCCAGATTCAAGAGCCAGAAATGCCTGATACTGACTGCTGCTCACAAAGTAGAAACAATGCCCGTTTTGCATTTCTTCCCATTGCTATATGCTGTGTGACACATATTGCAAGTCCATCCTACAGTGTGTTATCTTCCCTCTTCAACACTTTGTTATCGTGCTTCACACTATGTAGCTATTTCACTTCCTAGTCTCCTCTGGTACAAAACAGCCATGCTACAGCTTGCACTGACTTTCACATTTGCCCATTCCACTTGCTTTCTAAAGTCTCTCCTTCAGGTCTACCTTGGATTTCAGATTCGCTTTCCACATCTTCTCTCAACATCTCAAAGATTGCTTTAATATATAATTTGCATTTTTAGCTGAACAATCCTTCCCTCTCCTCCCACTCCCCCCACTTTTAGAAAGACAAGCAGCAGTTGAGAGCATTTCTCTTCCTTTTCTTTCTTCCTTCCTTCTAGAAGACCCATGCCAATTGATGGATCTTCCTCCTTTGGTACATGGCCAATTTTAATTGCATCCTGTTCTATGCATCTTGGTCTCATACCTCGTGTTTCTAAGAGCTGTTCTTACGACCACCATTTGGAATGAATTTGTTATAAGGTACCATGGGTGTAGCGGGTGATTCACTAAATAGGTACGTTTCAAATGACTGACAACATAATACTTAGCATTTCTGTAGCGCTTGAAAGCTACAAGGTCAGGCTGCTTGCAGAGGCAGCTGGGAGGCTGCAAGCCCTGCTTTAAGCAGCCCGGGCTCCATGGCAGACAGTGACTGCCCAGAACCCAAGCTGGCTGCAGCCCAGAGGATATAAACAGCTGCGCCAGGCTCCAGAGCCCTGGTAGGGCTCCATGGCAATGGCTCCACATGCAAACCCCAGCCCCTCCCCTGCCATCCACCTGAGGGGCACGTGCAGCCATCGCCAACACAGAGCTGGTATTCCAGAGATCAGTAAAACTGTTTTCAGCCTGCTGGCCACTCACTACAGCTGCCCCAAGACCCTTCCCCACTGTGCGCCCAAAGGCGTGTGCGCATCTGCCTAGGTGGGACTAGAGCCCAGTGCAGCTGTTTGCAGCCTCCTGGATGCCTGCCATAGCCTGCATGGGCTCTGGGCAGTTGTAGTAGGTGGCTGGCAGGCTGCAAACAGCTGCACTGGGCTCCAGAGCCCCAGCAGCAAGTACACACATGCCTTGGGGCACAGGGCAACACAACCCCAGCGCACTCCCCACCATCCGCCCAGAGGCGCACATACAGCTACCACCAGCAATGAGGAATGGGCTCCTTGTGGCTCCCCGGGGTCTGCCCCTGACACACCAAGTTGAGGCATAGGTCAGGGTTAGGGTGTTTTCGATACTCAGGCCAAAATTCTTTACTGATCCCTGACCTAGATCATCAGGTGCCTATACAAGCTTATGTCTCTCTGAACCAGTTAGTCTCTAGAGAGCCACCCTGCCCTCCCTTCAGACTAACATGGCCAACAACTCTCTCCACCCTTCTAGAAGGACTTGAATGCCAAGCTCTTAGCCTACACTGCTCAACTGGTCACTGAGACTAGGCTAATTGGAAGTCCCCATATTTCCACCTGGCTACTACTCCTATTGCTCCAGCTGCAGCAGCAGCAGCCAGGGTCTCTGGGCTCCCCCTCCTTCCTCCAGCTTCTGCTTTCTGCCCCCACCACAGTGGGTAGGGCAAGCCAGCACAGCCCAGAGTGTAGCAGGGAGCCTGTAAGTAGAGTAGTGAGGTAAGGGTCAGTATGCCTGTACAGCTTGGTGCATCTCATCTCTCTGAACATCTCTGAACTTTGAAACTAAAATTTGCATAAGCCTCTCTCTCTAGTACTCACAAATGCCAGATACTTGCTTCATATTATAGTTCTGGTCTAATTAGCAATTTAAAAAGCTGCTTGTTAGCACAATATCTGGATGAAAAAGGCAGTAGCTATCTATAATCTTATAAACAGATGAACAATATGCAAAAGAAAAGATAAGAACTTTTAATGCAATTCAGGAAATACTGATATATCTTAAATTTTCTTCTGCCAGCTTTTAACGACATTAAAATGAAATTAGTCTGTTCCCTGAAACTGATGGCACTGCTGCTGTATGGATGTTAACAACAGAGAGGAGATCAAACGAAAGCAATGCTGCAAGCATCCTTCCGCAGAAAGAGCAAGCATTTAAAATTATGTGCCCTTCCTTCCTTCTGAAGTCCCAGAATCTAGCTACAAGGATTTTCCAGTAACAGTAAATGACTCTTTCATGATAAGACATTAAACTGCATTATACTCCCTGCAAAGACTTAAGTAATAACTGTGGTTATAAACAGACTCCTTCCCTGGGTTATAAAGGGTCATTCCTAAATACATGAATGCCTGCATGTAAAACCACCCCATTGCTCTTGTGTTCAAACTGAGCACCACTCAAAGCAAATTCAGTCAGGCCTGTACCTTAAATCCCAGCAGAGGGGGTCGAGAGCAGCTTGTTACAAACTTGAGCAATTTACGTTTTTCTTCATCAGTGAAGCTTTCCACCACTCTCCAAAATATTTTGATTACAGGATGGTCTGCCGAGTAGCCACCTAGTAGAAGATTGGCATTGTAAAAGAAAGAAAGAAACATTTTAATAGAAGTAGAAAGAAGTGTTTAATATCATGTGTTAGAGTCCTTCCTATCAGCTTTAACAGCTCAAAAAATGGAAAGCAATGTCTGTTGTTCCCATCTCTGGTAGGTGTCTTTTGACATAGTTATTTAACAGCTTTAGCTTTCCTGTCCCCAGTCCATACCTGTATTCCACATACTTTTCCCAATACTATTCCATGATGAACCTTATAAAAACATTAATAAAATTAACCTATCATTTTTGTTGATAGGTTCTTTCTTTTACCACTTCTTTTACTGCCCCACTAAGATTTGTGGCACCCAGCAAGTTCAGTTTTAGTTCATCAATGCTCTGGTGCTACACTGCTCCTAAGTGGCTGGTGCTGTTGCAGGGAATGTCTAGTTAAATGCCTGGTAATGAAAATGTTCCCAGGAGATGTTGCTGAAAATGGGCATTGACCTGTATCTGCAAATTTAATTCATGTGGTGTTTATGCACTTCTGCAGATCATTAATGTCAACGTCAGATAAAACCAAATCTAATATGAATCCCTGGAGTATTACACAGCCCTTAGCTTCCCTTGTTTGTCATTAACCACTGCTTCCCCTTCAACCAGTTAAACAAGAGTTATTGTTACATATATGTGTACCATTGTTTATGTACCTTATCTTAACGGTAATATACATTTCCTTTAAAGAAAGTGGGAAGAAAGTGGAAATGATAAAATTCCTGTTAACTGCTATGGCTAGGATTTTCAGTGGCAGGCTTTTATGGAATTAGGATGTGCATTCATACAATTAAAGAAAGTTTCTCAGTAAGAAGATGGCAAGATTAGCTGTATTTTGTATTACTGATGAAAGTGCACAGAACTGCTATGTTTTCTCACAGATACTATCTTTATAAAGCAAGAATATTTCACTGCACAAAACTTATTCCTGCAACTTGATGGGCAAGGACCTCTCATGGTGCAGAATACTGAAGAAAACATTTCTTTGTAAGTAAAATGGAGATTCAAAGTACTTTTCAGAAATTAAATTAATTTAGCAGCCTTCTGCTAATGCATCAAAACATCCTTTCTGAGATGGGCATAAGATCCAGCAATTCATTAATTACATTAAGACAAATTTCCTTAGGTCTTTTTATAACAGTAATTCCATAAGGAGGAGTTTTATTAAAAGGTAAGAGAGGAGGTGTAATAGGGATGGACAGCTATGTGAACAAAGGGAGAAAGTAACATGCACAAAACTGGTTTTCAAAGTATGCGTTTAAAGAGCCCAATTCTGTATCTATTTTTCAGAGCAGGGGTTGATGAAATGGTCTCTTCTCGACTCCTTTACACATAAATATTGATCTAGAGAGCTTTGCTACTGAGGTACACTATAGATCAATTTCTTACTCTAAAAGTAAGCTTTAGGCTAAATGAGGCAAGTTTTGCATTAATAGCTTTATTCTTGAATCAATTATAATCCATTTACCCACCTGCAAAATACCTACCTGAATAGTTTGTGAAGGACTTTAGGTCATCCAGACTAATGGGAACCTGGGCACCAGAAATCAAAACCTGTGGGTAGAGGATATAACATGGTTATATTTTAGATAGAAATGAACAATTGTTGCAATTTTGAAACTGTTCAGCAAATGATTTCCCAATGCTTTTACCTGTATTTCCTGCTGATCAAACATTCGAAGCCATTCAAGGTTAACAACATTGGCCAGTCCCTGTCGGAATGCTAGACAGTGCTGCCTAATCTGCTTGTTCAGTCTGTAGTCTGCTACAAGATGGATGTATGCTATTCTGTTAGCACTGGTTACAGGGATATCCTTTCCACCTGGTTTCAGCTCAACCACCTATAAATATAAGAACATCTTCCATCATCCTGGCAAAGTCTAGTTCTACAAGTTCTAACATAGCTGAAATTAACTGAAGCATACTGTTTTAACAGTTGTATCAGAGAGAACACTACAGATCTTCCCCACCTTGGCCTCCAGAGGCCCAAGCACGTCTGCGTGTATCCAATTCTGTACTTCTGTGCCCAGCTTTCACAGTAAATTAACTGGGCCGAGAGACGACAGACTCCACTTCTAGGATAGGAATACATGTAAAATACTAACTTGAGAACTGCAAATCAGACGGAGTGTTGGCTGCGTCTTGACCCTGTTTAAGTCAGTGGGAATTCAGTAGAGCCAGATTTCACTCTGGATATTCTTCTTTGGCATGGGGAGTAACATCCTAAGTGTGGAGGTTATGAATCTCAAAGAGTTTATTCTCCAGGAGAATTACAGAATCTCACTTTGGCTAGGTTCTTAACCTTGTGGTGCGGAGAACACTGATGCTAGCGGATTCTCCAGCATGACATTACTATAAGGAAAGCCCAAATACTGCTCATCAAAAATGAAAATAATTTACAGGAGTGCAAGCTATCCACACTTCCTACTGAAGCAAATGGGCCTTACGTATGCTTTGTAGAGGTGCACTGATACATCAGTCCATGTTGTATCAGCGCCAATAAAAAGAAAATTGACATTATTGGCAATTGGCTTTTTTGGCTGATGCGGCTGATAATGTCGCTAATAAGTGCCACATGCATGTGCAGCCACAGCATGCACACAACCAGCCCAGAAGCTTGGAGAGCAGCATCCAGCTGGTAAGTCTCTTGAGGGGGGCAAGAGAAGAGAAGGGGGTGCAGGGCAGATCGAGGCCTCTGCAACGAGGGAAGGGAGTGGGGATGGGGCGGAGCAGCAAGCAGTTTGTCTGGGCGAGTGCTGGGGGGGCGGGGGGGACAGCTCCCACCACTGCACGCACCCATGGGAGAGCCATGGGGGGGCATGTGCCTCCTAGATCTGTGCGCGGAGCAAGAGCAGCCTACCACTGCGAGCTGAGGCTGGGGGCAGTGCTGGACTCTTCCCAGAGGGGGAGCTGGACGATGGCTGTGCTGGGACAGGGGGCTATCACCCTGTAGCCCACTGCCCCAGCACCAGCAGCACTGCCCAACCTGAGTGCACCTCCAGCCCAGTCTCCCAACTGGGAAGTGCCTGGCACCACCCCTGGACTCAGCCTGCAGTGGCAGCCCACCCTTGCCCCACAAATAGATCTGGGAGGTATGTGTCCCCATGGCTCCCCTGGGGGCCATGCCCCACAC